TGTTGACTTTGCAGTCTGCTGTTCTGCTAAGACAGCTGAGCATTAAGAAACAGGTGAGTAGCAACGCACTGGATTACCCAAGCATTCCAACAGGTCTTCCGGGACGAGGGGAAACAAAGCTAAAGGCAGCTACCCCTGGGAGAGAGAAAGTGAGGCTTAAGAGGCAGGATTTAATAAGGGAGCTGTAATGGTCAGAGAAACCCAGGGTAAACTCCCTGTCCAGGAGATACTTGATCTGCTGGTATCCCTTCCCATGAATGACCAGGTTTCCTCATACTTTGGATTAGCATGCCTTACTGGGAATTATAAAAAATACAATGCTTAATTTATACCTATCACCTTCTACACTGTGTGACAGATGGTAAAACGGCACACAATAAGGAGACATTTGTGGGAAGCAGGTGACTTCTGTGCCCTTAATATCTCAGTTTACCAAATATCTTATAGCCTCTCTTCTTTCATAGGTTAAATTCTCCCAAACGTATCTCTGATTCTCATTATGCTCTTCTATCGGAGCCTGCCTGACTCTACAGTATACTTACTTATGTTGCCGTTCTTTTGACTCAGAGGTCTTATTGAAATCCAGCCCTCTTACAGGCAATCACTGCAGCTAACTATTTAGCAACTGCTAAGGTAGTTTTCCGATCCTCATCTACAAGGAAAAAATGGATGAGACGATAAATTCGTGTAACCTATTAAGAGGGAGGACAAATACTTTTCGCTCAAATCAGACCAGATTCCCCACTCCAATAAAATATGCTCTAAGGACTCAAGCTGACTAGACCCACATTTACAAACTCTGTCTGAGTACGCTATGCCCGCAAATTAGCGGAGGGAGAAGAGTTTAACTGAGCGAGCATAAATGCTCTTCTATAATGAGGGGTTGTTAGGTCTTTTAACTAGCTCGGAATAGCATCTCTGCAGCATGCAGGTTACTGGGATACTAGCTAAATGTATTTTGGGGTGGGGGGCGGGAAGCATTTTATGGGAGAGCATACAAATTGAGTGGGCAGAGTTTACTTGTGCTCCGAAAAGGACCATAAGACATTATCATGACCTGCAAGTTAGCAAAATCTGAAAAAGTCTGGGAAACCTGTGAAACTTCTAAAGCTTCAAGTCCAGATGTAGGTCAAATCATGAAGCCGTTCCAAGTGGTGACCTGCAAGAAGCAAAGAGAGACACATCCCAAATTCACCTATTGATTCTAGAGCTAGTCATCATCACAGAACACAAACGTGCAAATAACTTGTGAACAGTACAGAATGCAGCTAGGGCAGAATGCAGCGGCGAGGCTGTTGTTGTGTCTTCCTGTGCGGGAACACATCCAGCCCGCCCTAAAAGCACTGCACTGGCTGCCTATAGCATACCGAATCTGGCTCAAGGTGCTGGTTATCACCTTTAAAGCACTTTATGGCCAGGGACTTGCATACCTGAGGGACTGCCTTTCCCCACGTCCCCCAGAGAGCACTGCAGTCAGGTACCCAGAATCGGGTGGTCCTCCCGAACATCCAGGAAGTCAGGCTAGCGACAACTAGGGCTAGGCCTTTCTCGGTGGTGGCTCCACTCTGGTTGAATGAGCCACCGGAGGAGATCAGGGCCCTGTGGGACCTGTTAGTTCCGCAGGGCCTGTAAAACGGAGCTCTTCCGCCAGGCTTTTGGAGCTGCCACCACCACTGCCACCATTGATATCTGACAGCTTACGAAGAACAAGCCCTACCATCTGGGCCCCACAATTACAGCTCGAGCCGACCCCCCGGACATTTGAGGAATATCAAGAAGCCGATAGTATGCCGAGGACTGAACACTAGCATTTTAATATGTTGTAATATTTATAGTTTTAAATTGTGTATTGATGGCTTTTAGACTGTAGATTTTATTGTTACATTGCAGTGTTTTATACTGGTTGTGTAAGCCGCCCTGAGCCGGCTCTGCTGGGAGGGTGGGGTAAAAATCTAATAAATAAACAAACAAACAGAATCTTGCTGTTGAAATGCCTCTGACTGTGCAGAAGACATGGCAGATATATCTTGAAATCCTGGTTTGATTATGAGTGCGTGACAGCACAGAACCAACTGATAGCTCAGCTTAACCAATACAGGTAGAGTAATGCTAGATCTCTTCCCTGAGTTATATATACAAAACATTGAATGGTGGTCATCGGTGCTGGCTGTGCTTTTCACATTATTCATTTATTATTATTTAAAACATTTTAGCTGCCTTTCATACAAGATCTCAAGCAGCTTAAAACATAGAAGAAATATGTAAAATAAAATACACAAAATCCATAAAACCCCAAAATTTAAAATCCCAGTTTAGGACTGGCTAGTAAACTATGGTCCTAAATAAAATGGTCTTCAACTGCCTCCTAAAGATCAAAAGTAAAGGGGCCAGGAACCTCCCTAGGGAGGATGTTCCATAATCGTGGGGCTGCCACTGAGAAGTCTCTCTCTTGTGTATGCATCAAATGAGATTCCTTTGATCTTAATTCCCAGGCAGCAACATATGGGAGAAGACAGTTCCTCCAGACAACCCCAGTCCCAATGCATAGGACGTTAAAGGTCAAAGTGAACACTTTGAACTGGGTTTGGGAACAGATTGGTACTAAGTGTAATTGCTGTAGTATTGGGGTCACATGCTCCTGATAACTGATCCCAACCAGCAATCTAGCCACAGCACTCAGCACTAGCTGCAGCTTTTGAACACTCTTCGAGGGTAGCCCCAAGTAGACCACATTGTAACAGTCCAGTACAGATGTAACTAAAGCATGGATCACTGTGGCTAGGGCTGACTGAACCAGAAACAGACACAGCTGACACACCAGCCACAGCTGGACAAAAGCAGTCTGGCCATCACAACCACCTTGTTTTCTAAGGTGACCGTTGAATCATGCAGTTTTTCAGTCATCCAGTTCACGGAGGGCTCAGATGTCTTATGTCACTGAGAATACCCATAGAGCAGGATCAACTACCTTGAGATGCCTTTCTTTTTCATAAAAAAAAAAGGGTGTGTGTGTGTCACATTATACACAATTAGATATTGTGAAGGCCTGGAAGACAAAAATGGGGGGGGGGGGGGGGGGAGAGAAATGGAAACAAGTGTCCCTCTGCTTTTTGGAGGCCTTTTCTAAAGTGTTCGGCAGAAAAAGTGGAATTTTTGGAGAGTACTGAAAAAAATTCCCATGAAATATGTTCTCTTTCCAAATGAGTAAAATGCTTTCAAAGACAAGGTGGGCTTGCTATAGACATACACAGCTCTTAAATCCAAGATGCATTTCTTTGCGAGGGGAGCCATGCAGGGCTTTCATTTCTTCTCAACAGTTGCATGTCTTCTGTTGTCCTTTTGACCTGACACAGCTCTTAAATCCAAGATGCATTTCTTCGTGAGGGGAGCCATGCAGGGCTTTCATTTCTTCTCAACAGTTGCATGCCTTCTGTTGTCCTTTTGACCTGACGTGGCTGACCGTTTTCACCTCTCCCTCAAACTTCTGTGACACATCACCCACAGACTAGGTAAAAAGTAGCTTATTACCCTACCTTGCAGGTGGAAGAAAAAAGATCTGAAGAGGTGGGGCAGAATCGGCATCTTGCAGAATTGTAACAGATCCCACAGGGCCCTGATGTTAGTAGGCAGATAGTTCCACCAAGTCGGAGGACAGCTGGACACTCTTTGGGCCAGGGACTTCTGGTAGGTGTTGGTCTCTGAGAGTAATGCTCTCCAAGGGACATACCAGGAAAGGCAGTCCCGTAGGTATGTTTGTCCCTGACCTTTTAGGGCCTTATAGGTCAAGATCAAAACCTTGACCCTGACCCGGTACTCAACTCAGAGCCAGTGCAGTTGATGAAGCACAGGTTGCATATGTGCAGTGATCAGTGTCCCTGTAAGGCCCTGAGCCGCTGCATTCAGGAAAAGCTGTAACTTCCAGATCAGTCTCAAGGGCAGCGCTGCATAGAGCAAGTTACGGTAATCAAGCCTAGAGGTGACTGCTGCATGGATTTTTTTGGGACAAAACTAAGGTATTTATAACTTTTGAATTCCATAGCTATGTCAAATATCACAGTTCTATATGCTAAGCAATATATAGATGATGCATTTTACTTTATACTTTATCAAAGCAATAACATTAGTTTAGGTTTGATAGGACAGTAAGTATTGCATATATTTCCATTTCCTCACAAAATTCCATTCCCCCCAAAACCTGAAACCCCCTGGGCCTCAAAACGTCCAGAAATTTTACACTGCTACTTGGTTGAAGAACAAGGTGACACCTCAGCTCATATATGGCTCACAGGTATGTCTTTTAAGATTTTGTTCCATGGAAGTGACACCCCCCCCAAAAAAAAAATGACTTTGGGCCACAGTCCTCCAAGCTGACAGAGCACAAGCTCAAACTAACCCAGTAGCAAAAATTTTGTGTCGGCAGAATACCTTTCTGCCCAATTCCCTAAATATGAAGGATCCTCACCTTGGCTGTTTAATGTCTTCAGCTCTTCTAGTAGGGAAATATTCACACACACCCTATTCTCATCATGTCCATCCTGGCCAATCAAATACAGTAGAAACAGTTAAACACTTGCTGGTGTACTGTTCACTGTTCATTTTATAAGGACATTCATTCTTTATACATCACCCCAATTTTATTCAATTTCCCTGGTAGATCCAACAAGTTTTACATGTCCTTTTTCCTTTCAGCTCACTCTAAAGAAACCACTTTTAAGGTGGCCAAATTTTGTGCTTTAGCTTGTTAAATAAGGAAGCATCTGGTTAATTTTTTTTGTAACAAGGAATTTAGTTCATAATGAGGTTGATTTTACTATATGTACATTATTTCTTTTATGTACTGCTGAGAGCTGAAGTATTAAAGCTTTCAGGACTGACAGACCTACTATTTCAGAATGTTTCAATAATTTATACAGATGAAATTTTATTTGCAGCACAAATAAATCTAAATTAGGCAAAATTATTCTAACTAAAAACCTTATCTTCCAAAAAATAAGGCAGCTTCCAAGGTCCCATCCATAGCAACCACACAAATGCATTTAGCTCTCGGTGGATTACAGACCAGCGTTAATTTCCCTCATTAAAGAGACCAGTAAAACTGTAAACAAATAACACGGCTCAGCTGCATCCCAGTGTCAAAGCATTCTCTCTACTGTTGTTGAGAAAAGCAATTTGTTGTAGCCTGCCTTTTGGAAAATGAACAAATATGAAAAAGGGAAACTGGGTGAATGATATATGCATTTTGTTTTCCGTTTCCAAAACTGAATGGGAGGGACAATGAAATAAGAGAACTCTGAAAGAGATGAGATTAACACTTTAATCTTGTATTCGCTAACCATAAACTTGTGAAGAACCAGGTGTGATTTTTTGTTTAAAGAATCATACCAATACCTACAATGAAAACAGTAATCCTTTAATTGCAGGCTCCTCCTACTTTCATATGTGTTTCAACACCTATGGCAGATCCAGTTTTTATTCTGAAAGGGGAAAATGCAACCAAGATAAAATCTTTGCATGGTTATAACCAAGGTTTTACTTTTTTATATTAAGGGAAGAAAAATACCACCAATTCACAACTCTTGTCTGTTAAGATAAAGTCTAATGTACTGTAAACTGGATGTTTGGGTCAACCACATATCACCAACAGGTGTGCATGTATGCCAGCTTGCCATGGGACTAATGTCACATCTGTGTACTAGACAAATTGTGTACTAGCTGTAGCTTTATAACAAGGACAATTGTGCCTAGATTGATAGGCGCTCACATTTTCTAGACAAATTCTACCAAGGTCACCGTGTAAGAAAACCAACAGAAATATTATTTTCAATTACACTCACGCAAGCTAGCTCCGAAGCAGCAAAAGCAAGTGATTGCCATTGGCAACAGAGCTCCTGTAGCCACGGTGGGATCAGGTGGGTCATCCGATCAGTGCAAGAATATTCATGTCAGATACAATCAGCTATCACACGTTTTTCAGAACAGGCCTTAACACGGATTAAGTAACAAGTTTGTCAGGCGGGGGGACTTGCAGATTAAAGCATCAAGGAGCATGGTGACGAGGTCTATTGCATTTAGACAGTTCTATTCAGTTCTCTGGGAAAGGAAAAGGGTTGCGAAAAGTTCAGCCCTATATGAATATAGTCCCTCTGTGGGAAGCTAGGCTGTTGCCGCCTTTGAACTGCAGAATGTCACGAATATGGTATCAATCAAGATTTCCACAGTAAAAATGGGAAAACAGCATCTGGTGAGTTCAGGCGTCACAACGACAAGCGGAAGATCTTCTTTTGCACAGACACTTCAGAATCCAAAAGACACTGAGAAATTTTAGGAATGCAGTGTCTAAAGACAGAACACAAGAGCATGAGAGTTTGCAGACAAAATGGTTCAGCCTTTCTTGTATGTAGTCTTGTAAGATGAAAATGAGATGCAGCTTATGTCTCTGCTTGATGGGCAGGATCCAGGTCCTTTGTTTAGGAGGAGCCACTTTGCTTAAGAGGCCTGTTCAGAAGGAATCACTGCAGTCATGTGGCTGCTCAGTGTTAAGATTTTCTTCTTGGTTTTGAATCTATAGAAGGCAAAAAGGTGATAATGTAAAAAGGTGGGAATGTCAAGAGGAAGAAATAGATTCTCATGCGATGACTCAAGCCAGTTTCCAGTTAAGCTCCCGAAAGCCAAATGATGCAAAGAAAGCAAAGGTATAGATGGGGTAAGCAAGCCTTAGTATCTCGGTGGAAACACTTCAGGAGGTATATCCTTTGATCAGTGCCCTGACATTGCTCTTAAGGAACCATCAAGTCCAATAAAGTTTATTTGTACTGAGGGACAAGAAATAAAGATTCTCTTGCAAGAAGAGACAGTCAAGAGAAGAGGTTGCTTTTGAATATCAGGAAGTCTCTGAAACATCTCCCAAGGCATCCTCACATAAAGTTAACTACAGCAGTGATTACTGTAAGTTACAAAACCATTAACTAAGCACTGTGGTCTGCCCGGTCCAGGAAGGATGGAGCCCTTGAACCCAGGCCATTTGGTAAAAAGCACTCCCAATTCCATTTTCCTCAAGAAGTTGACTTGGGTTCCAAGCACCCCTTGGCTACTCCGTTGTTCACAAAAGGAAATAGTTATCCCCTCTTTCACAAGGATTAAGCAGCTGTTCCAGACCTTAATAAGCATTCTCTTCCAGCATTACTTCCACCTTGGCTGATATCAAGCTGAGTTGCTCACTTGCAAAACAGTTTCCAAGCACTGTTCCAAGACTACACCTCTTGAATGCTCAACTGAACAAACAGAATTGTGTGCCATCGGAATACTACCAACACCAAAATCTGACCTAGCTATTTCATAAAGACGCTGAACACTATTGACATCGATGCCTCTTGGGGCTGAGGTGGCAGCTCTAATGACCACCACATCGCTTATTAGACAAAAGAGGAATGAAACCACTGGACTACCTTTTTTTTTAGCACCCCTTGGCTACTCCGTTGTTCACAAAAGGAAATAGTTATCCCCTCTTTCACAAGGATTAAGCAGCTGTTCCAGACCATAAGCATTCTCTTCCAGCATTACTTCCACCTTGGCTGATATCAAGCTGAGTTGCTCACTTGCAAAACAGTTTCCAAGCACTGTTCCAAGACTACACCTCTTGAATGCTCAACTGAACAAACAGAATTGTGTGCCATCGGAATACTACCAACACCAAAATCTGACCTAGCTATTTCATAAAGACGCTGAACACTATTGACATCGATGCCTCTTGGGGCTGAGGTGGCAGCTCTAATGACCACCACATCGCTTATTAGACAAAAGAGGAATGAAACCACTGGACTACCATCCCTGACCAAACATTTCAAATAGTGTAGGAAGATAGCATAGTCTGCCATTTTAAAATAAACCAAGAGCTGCAATTTCAAAACAAACCAAGAACTGCTCCATTTCCCCCTGGTCTCAATCGGATTAGCTTTCATTTTATGAGCAGACTATTTAACTGGCCTTTGTTGGTAAAACAGGGCCTGAAAAAAGGGGGGGGATACACAGAACATCTTGTAAGGGCTGGAGATGTTTTAAGAGCAATTGGTAGATTCATGTTCTGACTCACTTCACATTTGTCCAAGTTTTCATAAGCTTGTTCGAGAGAATCCAACATAGCCTTCATCTCCCTTGACTGCTGAACTTTGTTCAAGTCCCTAAGAACACCTTCTTGGTTTGGGATCTTCAGTATCAGATCCTACAGCATGTGAAAAAGTGAGGAACGTAGGGAGGAAGAAAAGAATTTATGTCAGACTGAATTTCCAGCGAAGCATCAGATAGTTAAAGGATAAATAGAAAGCAAAAGGCACTAACGGGTAAAAAAAGGCCATGGCATCTGGATGGAACAGTTCAGAAGATGTCACATGGCGACTGTCCAGAAACCCCCTCACCTAGGAACACACTGCCATGACTGCTTACCTGAAGAATAGGTGCTTCTAGGCTCTCTTTTGGGAGCTTAGGAAGAGCAAGGACATCATTGTTTTCTTTACAAAACAGCTACAAGGGAGAAAAATGGAAACAAATGTGATTCCCAGAGACCAGAAGCAGAACTCTACCCAGTTCCCTCCCCTACGCCCTTGACTCAGTTCTGCAGGGTCTGCAAGACCGAGAAGTTCCACTGGGCATATGGTTGAGAACAGCAATGGTTAGTGAGATCAGTGGCCTCCTGGGTTCCCCCCCACACACACCTTTCTTTTTTTATCCCCCATGCCTCCTCTGCTTAAGAACATTCCCACAGGTGAATTATGACGTCACACTAGCCACCCCAGTTGCTTGCAGGAGAGATGTATGATGCCATCTAATGATACTGGAATTTAAATGTATTGTATGTATTTTATTGTTTATATTGATTGCATGCTTTTATTAGGTACTGTTTGAGATACGTTGTGCACCACCCTGAGCCCAACTTTGGGAAATGGGCAGGATAGAAATTAAATATTATTACTATTGCTATTATTATTATTCTGAAGGAAAGCTTGCAGTTGAACAGGAGTACTGTAAAACGCACACCCTTAAGCTGCTATGTCAGAAAGTATCTAGAGAGCGTGCATTTCTTCTTTGCGAAACCCTGCAGACAACATGAACAGGATTCTTTTTTCCAGACTGAATACCTACGCCATCTTTCACATACCTCGCTCATCATTTCTTCTTCTGCCGCCAGCTCATGTTTTAATGCCTGCATTTCATTCTGAAGACGCACAGTGTCTTCATGCCTGAGCTCTGCTTCTTCCACTGATTTGTCTATTGCCTCCTGAATTAAAAAGAACACACTTTAAAGTAAGAAACCATTCACATGGCAAACATTTGCACGAGAATATAAAGTGACCTATAACGTGTAAGCAGCATAGCCCTGTGGCATGGTCTGAAGGCATATTACGCAGCCACTTTGCTGAGGTTAACTGAGGGCCAAACAAGACATATGGGTTTTTAAGGAGCTGGGTCCATGATCGCCAGTCCCAATTCCTCGCAGTAGCTGTTGAATAAAGGAGAACCCTTTAGGGTCAGAACACCACAGTGCAGGGAAGAAGGGCTCCCCCTGTGTTGAAAAGTGCTGGGGCAGTTTTTCTCCAGGTTTTGCTGCTCCACGTGCACAGACCATTCATGTGGAGCAGCAAAATGAGGAAGTAACCCCTCCCCCCCACTATTTTGTTATGAGAGGCTCTTCCTTCCCCCCTGGCAGTGTTCCGAAATGAGTTGCCCAAATGAGTTCTCCTTTCTTTTTAACAGCCATTCTTCACAGCTGCTGTGTGGCTACGGGGAACCAGAGTTGGGTCAGGGTAACCTGGATCCAATGTTTTTTAAACCCGCATGACTAGTGTGGCCCTGAGCCGGGGTCTGTCTAGCGCCTAAATGGGAGACCACACCTCAGTTCCACGGAAGAAAGAAAAGCGGGAGATTACAAAAAGTTAAGAATGTGTGCTCCTACTGGAACCCTCAGCATGTGTCGAACAGAACTGGTCAGGAAGGCATTTGTACAAAGTGTACAAGGTGGTCATTAATGTCTGTGGGAATCAAGGTAATTTTCATTGTATCATGTTGTGTTTACTGCATTGTTCTCCAATTCTGTGATCCACCTTTGTTGTATGTAACATAATGTCTCCCTATACTGTTTTCCCAAGCTCATAGTTCCGGTCTTGCTATCTGTATTATACAGTATTCAAATGCTATGCTTGCTAACTTTGTCAACTATATTCACGTCCAGTAGCACCTTATAGAG